GTAATGAAATATATATTGATAAATATTTACACTACATTGTTCGGATTGTTGTCCTTATCCTTATTATCGTATTCAAGAAGTGTCGGCCATTGTACGCTCCGGCCTTCTTCAGGTGATATGTTTTGGGTATTTAGAAATCAACCTTTTACTTAGTCCACTGGGGTAGGTTGTTCTAGTTCACATGCCATGCCTTTTCTGGATATCTCATCTTAGGTTGTGTCTTTTTAGTAACCCATCTCTCCAAGTTTTTTCACCTCTATTAAACTCACAACTCTTTGGGTCAACTCACTAGATTAAAGAAACTGGGGATTCACTGGCAAAGAAGATGAGGACAACTGAGAAATAGAGACAGATGTTGAAGGTGAATATGGCAACAACGACGAGGACAAAAGTCCAAACAATGTAAATAGTGTAAATAATTACAATACCTCATTTCAGAAATACAGACAGATGTTGAAGGTGAATATGGCAACAAAGATGAGGACAATAGTCCAAATAATGTAAATTATGTAAATAATTACAATACCTCATCTCAGAAATAGAGACAGGTTTTGAAGGTGAATATAGCAATAAAGATGAGTATAACGATTCGAATAATCTAAAAAGTGTAAATAATTACAATACCTCATCTCAGAAATAGGGACATATGTTGAAGGTGAATATGGCAACAAAGATGACAACAGTCCGAACAATGTAAATAGTGTAAATAATTACAATACCTCATCTCGGAAATAGAGACAGTCTTCCAATTGTAGTGGTTAGCAGCATCCCGATAAAAATTTACACATAATTTGTGTCTAAATAAATTAACTCTGAATCAAAACTGACACCCCATGTGTCATAAATGCATTATGAAAAATATCAGTTTTTCACATGGATTTCCCGTTTTGATACTGAAATAGTTTAGTGTGCATTAACTTGACGGTAAAAATTATATCCTTCCTTATGAAAAAAAGAGTAAGTGTAGACGAAAGTGTGCACCGATGAGAGAAGTGCACGTAGGTATAAGATGCGTGTGCGAGATCGATCGAGATGTGTAGTGTGTACAATTGATTTTGCTCCACGTGCAATGATCGATGGAGTTATGTATTGCGTACTATCGATTTTGCTTCACGTGTAGTGTTCATTAGTGCTATGTGATGAAATAAATGCAAAAAATCTAATTCGCATCAATGTCGTCATCCAGTAAAAACGTAGGCTACCTTCATGCATGTATATTTTGAATTTTTGATACTTTAAATTTAAATGTTTGAAAATCATATTGTTAAAAAAGTTTAAGCGTAAATGCCATTTTTTAATTATGTATTTATCATCTTCTAATCAGCGTTTAAATAATGCTTACTAACTCATGTATTTGAAAACATGAGCCCTAAAAGTTTGACAGTTTTATTCTGAAAAATGTACTTATAATAATGTAAAGACCCTCTGTCGAAACTCAAGAAACATGAAACTCAAATTAGACTGACACAAAATGCTATTCGTACAGCTAGTGCAAGGTCAGCAGAAAGTAATGAGCAACGGTTAACTAGACGAGGAAAGAATGCTGCCAAAACCTCTGCTACTCGAGCTGTCGAAACTGAGGGGCAAAGGACAATTCTATACAGTCTTTGTGAACGTTGGTTTTCAGCCTTGGCACGGTTGCTAGAAGTCTTTGTTGAATTTCTTCTCATTCCAATGCATGTTGTTCATTTGATGTAGTTTGAGCAAAAGCTGTCAACAAAGCATTTCTTCTCAACAATTTTCGATGATCGATTGCAATTAATATACTGTTCATTTGCTGACAATATTTTTTGTATCTTCTGTGCTTCTGTAAAAAACAATTTTCTCTCGTTATAAATGTTTTCACACTTCATGTCATTATAATTTTTTGCCATATAGATAAGAAGCACTAAAGAAAAATCTTCTTTATTTTAACTTTACAGATTGGATGAGGTTCGTGATCTTTTTTTGAATAAACCCAGGCAACGCAGGTTAATGCTGCTAGTATATATATATATATATATATATATATATATATATATATATAAAGAATTTAACGTATGTTTATCTAAAGCAAGAGACGTTACGAAACCAATGTGCGAAAAGTCAACAACTACAATGTCAACTAAATACTTACAAGGATACATACACAGACACGCACACAAATACACATAAAAGTATACATTATCTTCTGAATCCCACATAGACAAACTAGAATTTTTATACACTTACATACTTAAAGCCATATTTATGGTTTTTCATGTTGGCTTAATTTCTTAACTTAAAATGGATGGACGCGCGTTCTCACTCCTTGAATTTGGAAGGTCACAAATTAAACTAAGGTTTGTTTAACAAGTTGAATTCATGTGAAATAAAAAATCAAAATCAAAAAACACAAAAGAAAAAAATTGCAGAATTTATTTCTCCCTATCTCATTCTCTGATGATTACTTTAATAAAAGGAAAAAAATGTTGCATTGATAACCGTTTCATATTTGTTCTTTATCTTGTCATATATATATATATATATATATATATATATATATATATATATGTGTGTGTGTGTGTCTAATATGTGTGTGTCTAATATGTGTGTGTGTAATATGCGTGTGTGTGTGTAATATGTGTGTGTGTCTAATATGTGTGTGTAATATGTGTGTAATATGTGTGTCTAATATGTGTGTATCTATAATGTCTATGTAATATGTATGTGTGTAATATGTGTATGTGTCTAATATGTGTGTGTAATATTTGTGTATAATATGTGTGTGATTCTAATATGTGTGTGTAATATGTGTATGTGTCTAATATGTGTGTGTATCTATAATGTTTTGTAATATGTATGTGTGTAATATGTGTATGTGTCTAATATGTGTGTGTAATATTTGTGTGTAATATGTTTGTGCCTAATATGTGTGTGTAATATGTGTGTGTGTCTAATATGTGTGTGTAATATGTTAGTGTAATATGTGTGTGTCTAATATGTGTGTGTAATATGTGTATGTCTAATATGTGTGTGTAATATGGATGTGTGTAATATGTGTATGTGTCTAATATGTGTGTGTAATATGTGTGTGTGTTTAATATGTGTGTGTGTATGTAATATGTGTGCGTGATGTATGTATGTAATATGTGTGTATGTAATATGTGTGTGTGTGTGTGTGTGTGTGTGTGTGTGTGTGTGTGTGTGTGTGTGTGTGTGGAGAGATCAGTGTGCGTTAGCCATGGTGCCATGACGTCAAACAGGAGGGAACAATCTCAACCATGATTGATAATATGAACGTGTCTTTTGGCAAACTTCGAGTACGCTGAATAACTCGAGGACTTACGATTCCATCAAATATATTTTCGATTTATTTATTGCTTTAGAAGCAGACTGCTCGCTGTGCCTGATACAAGCGATAGAGTAGCTGAATTCTTTGTCTCGAGGTAAATTTCGGCGTCTTCCACGCAATTCTGATAATTCGTTACGAATATGCAAAACGCCTGAATCCGCCCGAATGCAATGATAATCTCCAGTGCCTTTTGGCGACAACAGACCAATTGGTTATTTGTGAGGGAAAGAGAGGTGGTTCCTTTGCATTTATTTAATTGTGCATTATTTGGTCGAAAAATCAAAACTTTATTTAGATCAACTGTATTTAGATATCTATGAATAAGGAATGTATAAAAGAAACGAGCCACATTAGGGATTTTTCTTCTTTTATTGGCCCTTTCCTTTCAAGACATAGCCGATCATTGCTCTCCACAATCTCCTCACCCTTGTAGCTCGTAGCAACGTTTTTCCCTTTGCCAAGACCCCTAACCATCCTTCCATCGATTCAAATAAGTTCGTCAGGTCCGCTGATTATTTCCTGT